TGTGTGTAAAGGCACAAAGCCCCAGTCATGCTATGTGGTGGCCGTGGCAGCAGCAGGCGGGAAAGCAGCCGGCCCCTGCTGCAGGCCCAGGATGAGCACCGTGTGAGGTGTCACTCGCGTCCCAAAGCTGTTGTAATCCTGGGCTGCTGTGTAGCAGCTTTTCCTGTCCCTTGGTGTGACTGATCCCGCTGCTGTAGGTGCCAAGCTGTGCCAATGGCCACTCTGCCGCTGCCAAAGTGTCTTCTCCTGCCAGTGGCAGCCAAGGCTTTCCTCCTTGTGTCTGTTGCAGTGCCCTCTCTTGCCAGCTCCTCTTCCCCTGGTGGTTTGCCCAGCTCAGGGTGGGCACAGCCGTGCGTGGGTCGCTCCCCCCAGCAGGAGGGCCTCACGCCAGGGCTCGTGGTGCTGCTTGACCTGCCTCGGGGCTGTCTCAGTTGTTTTATAGACCGCTAGCCTGTGCGGGGTGGTGTGCTGGTCTGAGTGTTCTTGCCCTGGTTGGAGTTGATCTGCGTTATAGGGACCAATCCGGAAGCTTCACAGGCCCAAAGAGGGGTGGGGGATTAAAATAGGGGAAACTGTGCATGGCAGTAGGCCTTGAAAATGCTCTGACCTCCAGTCTCTCACGTTATCAGGTTAGCAAGGACACAGGCACCGTGGCCGGCGGGCAAAGGAATCAGCATAACAATAAAGCTGCTGGTGGTGGTGAACTGGGGGGCCCAAGGCCTAGTGCCCACAGGGCCAGTGCCCATTCTCCCCCTGCCCTCAGTCCTCACCCACAGCCCCCTGCTGCTCTGCTCCTGGGGCCTGCAGTGTGAATCCTACGCTGAAGTACAGTGCCCGCTTCTGTGACAGCCCCTGGCACATGGACACCAGTTTCTTTCCTTGCCAAAGTCAAACTCCCCAGGTCTGCAGAGGAGACTGTCTACTGCTGCCTGCAGCCAGTTACGTTTCTTCCTCCTCCCTGCCCCGGCTGGGTCAGCACGAGGGGCTCTGGCTGTCTTGTGTGTCCCGTGGAAGACCCTCCCTGCAGAGCAAACCCGTGGCTTTGACAGGGAATGCCCTGGTTTCCCACCATCTGTGTCTTTCCTCAACACTGTTCTGGCCGTGGGGCGGCTTGTGAAAAACTGTCCGAGTTGTGTGCGCTCTGGCAGGCTGCTACCCGTCTCCCTGCAGCTGGGAAGGTGCCTCCCTCTTTGGGAGCTGGGGGGTGAGTTCAAGGATGTGACTGGATGTGTAATGTAGAGCTGAAACTGGGTCTGTCCGGATTTCCATGGGGAAACGAGGAATGAAGGAATGTCCGGCCTCCTGGGGCTTCCCGCAGGGCTGAGGCTAGCTCTGCATCGGGGGGGAGGAGCTAGCTGGACAACAGGAGGGGAAGGGATGGTTTTATCTGCTGGCTTGCGCGTATGCCCCAGACACACTTCTCTGTATATCTGGAACTAGCTTATTGCGACGGCAGGCCAGGAGCTGACTGCTCTGTAAAGGCTGTTCGTATCTGCATGTAAATTGTGCATGCCACAGCGCTGCTGCTATGTTACATACTGTGTAATAAAGAGGCAGCATGTCCATGCTGCACTGGCTGTCGGTCATGCCCTGCTCGGACTCCTTCCTTCTCTGTTGCAGGGCAGGCTCCACTTCCCCTCAGGCCCCAGCAGGCGGAGGGAAGGGTCTGCTTGTCCTGTGCCTCCCACTGACCCCACAGCTGCTGCGGGAGTTAGCTGGAGGAGCCGGCGGACACAGGCAGTTTGCAGGGGCTGGCCTGCAGGCAGCATTCAAAGGGCCAGCCTTGCCCTGAGAACTGGCCTCATCCCAAGCCTGCTCTGGGACCCACAACTCTTCAGCTGGGCCAGAACTCTCCCTCTTTCTCTCTTATCAGGCCCAGGTGGGCAGCCTTGGGCTTCTTGCCAAGCTCACCTGTGTTTCCTACAGGGTAGCACTGCCGGTTTCAAGCTGGGAGCCCAGCCTCATACCAGCTGCTGGTAGATGGCAGGAGGAAGCCACTGCACCAGAGGGGCCCCAGCTCGCATTTCGCCTCCAAGGCGACCACCTTGGCCAGCCTCGCAGAGTCCATGGCGGAGGTGAGGAGAATCCTGCCACCCTCGGGCCTGGTCCCGGCTCTGACCACTCAGCCACACTGCCCTCCACGTCCAAGTGGATTTACCAGGCTGCTGCCAACAAGCTCATCTTCCCTAGGTGACTCAGGCAGCGGAGTCTACTGAGCCCAGGGGAAGCATCCCACAGCTCCACGTGCCCCAGGCTGGCAGTGCTGCCTGCCCTTAGCCAGGGCTTCTGCTGCCCCAAAGGGGTAGTTAATCCCTGTTCCAGGCAGCACTGCCGAAGCTCTGACACCAGACGGAGCCTGAGGCTGAAATGGGGCCAGTGCCTGCAGCTGCCAGAGGGCAGAAACAGCAGGGATGTCAGTCCCGCAGCTGGGACAGGCTGGCAGGAGCCCATCGTACAGCACACTCTGGCCTCTCCCGGGGAACGTGGCTGTTCTGGGCTCTCCTCAGTGCCTAGCCATGGCACATGGAGACCGGGTCTGGCCCACGCTGCTCCCTGCGTCAGTGCGGCCTGGCCACAGCACATGCTGGGACCTGCTGGCTGAAGGTGAGGGTAGCTGCCACATGCTGACAAATTAGATGCAATCTCTGGGCTCTTGGCTGGGCAAACAGGCATCCAGCTGCATTGTCCCAGCCACCTACCATCTGCCTGCCCTGAGCCTCAGTCACATTCACCCTTCCCGGGAACACATGCTCAGCCCAGTGGGGAGCTGGAGCCGGTTCACACCGGTTTTCGCAAACCAGTTGTTAAATTTTGAAGCCGGTTTAGAACCGGTTGTTAAAGGGGTGGGGAAGCTCAGGCGGGACGGACAGGATGTGGCCCGCGGGACCGTCCTGTCCGTCCCGCCTGAGCTCTCAGCTGGGGAGGCTCCCTTGTGAATTTTTACTGAGCCTTTGGTGGCGGGTCCTTCACTCGCTCCGGGTCTTCGGCGGCGGGTCCTTCAGTGCCACCGAAGACCCGGAGGGACTGCAGGACGTGCTGCCGGAGACCCGGCGCGAGTGAAGGACCCGGTTCTTGAGCTTCTGGCAGCTCATCACTGGCTCAGCCCTTCTAGAAACTGGGTTTAAAGTGAGTCCCTGTCACTGTACATGGACTGGGGCAGCAGCACCTGCTGTCTGCTTACGCTTCCTGCTCTGGCCAGCACCAGTCCTCAAGCTGTGGCCTCTGCAGCCTCTGGACCCCGCAGTGCCCGGCTAAAGGAGCAGAGTGTGGCAATCGGAAGCTAAAACCGGTAAGTGTTTCTGATTTTCTATCCCTGTCCATTTAGCTACTGCTCTGCCCCACAAGCAATGGGTCCTGGCTGCCCCTGCCTGCCCTGCTGCCTAACGCACCTGCCCCTGCAGCTCACCATGGACGGTCGGCTTGCTCAGGGCATCCCAATCCTGCTAGCCTTACAGTAATACCTGTGTAGGAGAAACCCTGAAGCAGGGCAGGCCGGGTCACCCTTCCCCCTCAGCCAGGACAGGAACATCATGGGCGTGGGGTCAGGGTTGAGACGAGTAGGAGGAAGAGCCCACTGCTTGGAAGCCAAGCCAAGATCTGGGTGTCTGGCAGCCCCCTGACTGAGGGACCCTGTAAAGACAAACAGCTGAAGAGTGTGCGTCTGACGCCTGTGGAGCTGCAGATAGTGCAGGGTGGGGACAGTGAAAACTTCCTGAAGTCCAAGCAGAGGCTGAGAGCTGGAGGATCCCTTATCTACGAGCAAACACATGGGCCTGGGCCCCCAGCACATCCAGGGAGCAGAGCGTGTGTGCAGGCCAGGTCCTGGGGTCCTGCACCAGAGGCCCCGAGCCCCTCTGGCTGCATCACCGCTGGCAGTGTGTCTTCCCCATCTTGGCCTAGCTCTGGCGCTGCAGCGAAGGGCTCAGCAGTGCCTAGTGGAATTAATAGGCAGCAGGTTTAATACAAACAAGCGGAAGTGTTTTCTTCACAAAATGCACAGTCAGCCTGTGGAACTTGCTGCCAGGGGATGTTGTGAAGGCCAAGGCTATAACAGGGGTCCAAAAAGAATTAGATTCATTCCTAAAGGATGGTCCATCAACGGCTATCGGCCAAGATGGTCAGTAACACAACCCCATGCTCCGGGTGTCCCTAAACCTCTGACTGCCAGAAGCTGGGACTGGACGACCGGGCTGGTCACTCGATAATTGCCCTGTTTTGGTCATTCCCTCTGAAGCATCTGGTGCCAGCCACTGTCAGAAGACAGGACGCTGGCCTAGCTGGACCATGGGTCTGACCTGAGGAATTAACCCAGGGAGGGGTGGGGGGCTCATTTCTTTGCAGACAGAATTGGGGATGTCAGTAAATCATCAGTAAATCAGGTTAAAACAAAATGTTTGTGCTAAATAAAATAAGTAAATAGGTCAGTAGGCTAAAAAACCAAACTGTCTCAGCCACCTACACCCGGGAAACTATTTAATATCAACTAAAGAACAAAAATCTAAAGTTTCACAAAGGTAAAGATGAGGAAAAGAGGAAGTCAAACCATATGCTGTGCGCCTGGCACCGGAAATGGTTCCTGCAAAGTAACCAAGCCAATCCAAACCTGTAAGATGCAACAGACAGTACATGCAATAAAACGTGTCATGTATATTTAAAGCTGTAATGAACCCTGCATCCTCCCCCCCCCAACCCCCCATGTTTGTTTAATCAACGTAGAACTGCTGAATGTCAAATAAAGTATGTCAGAAGCAAGAAGCCTGCCAAACAATCAGTGGGGCCCCTGGGTGATTGAGGTGCTAAAGGAAGACAAGGCCGTTGCAGAGAAGCAAAATGAATTCTTTGTGTCCATCTTCACCACAGCGAATGTGAAGGCAATTTCCCACACGAGTCCTTTTTAGGTGACAGATCAGAGGAGCTGTCCCAGATTGAGGTGTAAATAGAGGAGGTTTTGGAACAAACTGATCAATTAAACAGTAAGATGTCACCAGAACCAGATGGTATCGCCCAAAAGTCCTGGAGGAACTCAGATATGAAATTCATAGAATCATAGACTTTAAGGTCAGAAGGACCATTACGATAGTCTAGTCTGACCTCCTGCACAACGCAGGCCACAGAATCTCACCCACCCACTCCTGTAACAAACCCCTAACTTATGTCTGAACTACTGAAGTCCTCAAATCGTGGTTTAAAGACTTTAAGGTGCAGAGAATCCTCCACCGAGTGACCCGTGCCCCACCCTGCAGAGGAAGGTGAAAACCCCCCAGAATTGCAGAACTGCTAACTGCGTTATGCAATATATCGCTCAAAGCAGCCTCTGTGCCCGATGCCTGGTGGAAGCAAACATGATGCTGATTTTTTTTAAAAAGTCTCCAGCGGCGATCCTGGCAATTACAGGCCGGTAAGCCAGACTTCAGGACCAGGCAAATGGGTCGAAACTACAGTAAAGAACAAAATTATCAGACACAGAGATTAACATGATTTGTTGTGGAAGAGTCAACACAGCTTTTGTAAAGGGAAATCAGGCCTCACCAATCTATTAGAATTCTTTGAGGGGGTCAACAGCCATGTGGACAGGGGGACCTAGTGGATACAGTGTACTTAGACTTTCAGGAAGCCTTTGACAAGGTCCCACTCTAACGTCTCTTAAGCAAAGTGAGCACTTAAGGGATAAGAGGGAATTATTTTTGTGGATCAGTAACTGGTTAAAAGATAGGAAACAAAGGGTAGGAATAAACGGTCAGTTTTCACAGTGGAGAGAGGTAAATAACAGGGTCCCCTAAGGATCTGTCCTGGGACCAGTGCTGTTCATCATAGTCATAAATGATCTGGAAAAGGGATAAACAGTGAGATGGCAAAATTTGCAGATGGTACAAACTACTCAAGATAGTTACAAAGCAGACTGTGAAGAGCTACAAATGGATCTCACAAAACAATGACTGGGCAAAAAAACAGCAGATGAAATTCAATATCAATAAATGCAAAGTAATGCATGATGCAAAGCACAATCCCAACTATACATAGAAAATGATGGGGTCTAAATTAGCTGTTACCACTCAAGAAAGATCTTGGAGTCATTGTGGAGAGTTCTCTGAAAACATCCCTCAATGTGCAGCGGCCGTCCAAGCAAACAGAGTGTTGGGAATCACTAGGAAAGGGATACATAAGACAAAATATCATAATGCTGCTATATAAATCCATGGTACGCCCACATCCTGAATTCTGCAGGCAGTTCTGGTCACCCCATTTCAAAAAAGATGTATTGGAATTGGAAAGAGCACAAAGAAGGGCAACAAATATTATTGGGGGTCTGGAACAGCTTCTGTCTGAGGAGAGATTAATAAGACTGGGACTGTTCACCTTGGAGAAGAGATGGCGACAGGCGGATATGATAGAGGTCTAAAAATCATGGCTCATGTGCAGAAAGTGAATCAAGAAGTGTTATTTACCCCTTCCATAACACACAAACCAGGGGTCTTGCAATGGAGCTAGTTTAAAACAAACACAAGGAAGTATTTCTTCACACAATCACAGTCAGTCTGTGGAACTCATTGCCAGGGGATGTTGTGAAGGCCAAAAGTAAAATTGGATTAAAAAAAAATTACCAACATTCATGGAGCATGGTCCATCAATGGCTATTAGCCAAGCTGGGCAGGGACACAACCCATGCGCCGACTGCCCCTAAATCTGACTGCCGAAAACTGGGACTGGATGCCAGGGGATGGAGCACTTGATAAATTGCCCTTTTCTGTTCATTCCCTCTGATACATCTGGCACCGGTCTCTGTTAGAAGACAGAACACTGGGCTATTGGTCTGACCCAGTGTGGCCGTTCTTATGTTGCGGGGAGGCTGGACCTGCCCGGGGGCTCCTGTCCGGTAAGCTAGCACAAGTTGAAAGTCTCCTGGGTGCTGCCAGCTGGTTCCCCCAGGCCAACCCTGCGGGCTGTGGAACGCTGGGACACCTCCCACCCGTCCCAGCTCCTAGGAGAACACAGGAGCCCCCGCAGCCTCCCCACCCCTGTGTTCCCTGCCAGGATCAGAGCAGCTCCAGCCTGGGGTCCTGCTGCAACCTGGGCAGTGCCGAGATGCTGGCAGGGTTGCTAGGAGAGCACAGGCTCCCACCCAGGTGCCAGGGCAGGGCCCCTGATAAGCAGCAGGCTCTTGCCTATCAGCAACTCCTGCCCAGAGCGCCCTATCCAGCCCCTTATCACAGGCCTCACAGGCGAGCGGCTTCCAGGAACCCTGAGCCCTGCCCCTCGGCCAGGCCAGCGGCCAGGCACGCAGGCCACACACACAGTGACAGCCCAGGTGAGCGCCCCACACATGTTCTACCCAGAGTTCCAGTGGAGGAGCCCCTGCCCTCAGCAGGGTTGAGGTGACACCACCAGCCACCCTCCCTCCCCCAAGGCCGAGCCCTGCTCTGTGGCGGGGCACGTGGGCACATGGACACCGGCATCTGTCCCTCCCCAACCTAGCTGCCACCAGTTATCTGGGTGCTGAGTCCCTCGGAAATAGCCACGTGTTGCTCTGCACCAAGAAGAGCCTCTACCACCCCACCCCCACCCCCGTTGGCTGCGCCTAGCTAGGCTCCCTGCCTCAGTGGCTCTCCTAAGAGGTATTTGCAAAGGCCCAATGGGAGGGGGGAGCCGAGCAACCCCAGGGGTATGGTCTAATCGCACAAGCCTGGTTCTCAGGCCTGCTGAGCCTGCAGCTTCCTCAGGCAATTTCAGGGGCACGCCAGGGAAATAAGCGATGCCTGGCTGGGGTGGGGGTCCCAGAGAGGCACAGCAGGTGCAGTCCTGTCACAGGATGGAGCAGGTGCCAATGCCTAGACCTGCGGGGACGGGAGCAATCCACGGCAGTGCTGCCTCAGTTACTGACCATCCCTGGATGTGCCTCTGTGGGGCTGGGATGCCCACGGTCGGGGCAGGGATTGCGCCTGGCTCAGGGGACTCTTCGGTTTGTGCTGTACGTATCCTGCTACTTAATGGAGTTTCCTTTGGGAAAAAAGCAAGACCATTTGGAAGCTGACAACCTCCAAGCTCTGGGCCAGCAGCGGGGCTCTGGTTCCTGCTCAGAGGATCAGGGTCCAGCTTTGTAGCCCTGGGCTGGTGGTTGGTGGCCCACACATGGAATGAGTATACAGGGTCTTAGCCCAGCTCCTAGCAGATGGGATGCCATGGCACGAACACCATGGCTATAACCAGCCCTAATTGGAGCTGGGCCCTGCTCTTGGCAGGCTGGGCAGAAAGTGGCCCCTGGGGCATGAGCACCCCTGGCCCTAGTGCTCCTCTCTTCAGGACACGTTAGCAGGGTGGGGGGAAGAGCTGCTCCTGCTGCTCGGTTTCCAGGGCCCCTCCCGCTGGTGCCCAAGTCCCCCCGCTCTCGTGATGTGCGTGTGCTAACCCTGAAGCAGGTGCCAGGCACGTGGGGTGGCCGTGGGCCCTGCTGGCCATGGGCCAGGGCACCTGGGCTGGGCTCTTTTGATGGCAGTCCTGGGGAATGTGTGTAATGACACTCGACACTCTGGTGCAGCTGTCACAGGCCATTTACAAAGGGGAAGAACTTGCCCCTACATCCAGGCCCCACCAGTACTTTTCTGACCCAGGGGAGCAAGGCAGGGCGCAGTGCTGCTGGGCCAGGTGGTTTGTGTGGGCCTTGTGCCGGGTGCAGGGGCCTTTCGCCCCAGGGGAGTGGGCAGGGTGCTAACTCCACACCAAGCAGACAGGACTCAGTTGCTGTCTTCAAAGCTCTGTCACTTCCTGGAGCTCCCTAGCACCGGGGCAGACTCTTCCCTGCGGCAGCTGCACCAAAGCCAGGCAGGAAAGGGTTAAAAGGGGGAGGGCCAGATATGAGCAGATAGTTGATATGCAAATGAGGCCAGAGTAGGTATTATAAGTGACTCAGCGGGAGGCGCTGGCTCTGGAGTGGAAAGAAGGAGCCCACTCCCCTCCCCAGCCTGGCCGCCGGCCCAGCCCAGCCTGAGGGCCTGAGCCAGGTAAGTGCCCAGACCCTGCTCTGCCTTCCTGAGGCTCACCAGGAGGGACCTCGCTCTCTTTTATTCCTTAGAGTCTTCTCTTTAATGACTTATCCACAGTCCCAAGGGGTGAACAGCTGCTCTGCTCCAGCCCACCAGCGTGAAGTGGCTGCATCCTGTCCCACCCACTGGAGACTCCCGTGGGCTGGTGGGTCACATTCGAAGAGGGCCTGGACTCTGCTACATGCTACTATCCCCTGGCCTGGGTTGTAACTGCCGCATGCTTGTTCAATCTTCCCGGGGCAGATTCTACCAGGGCTGGTCCCTGGCGTTCCAGAGGGAAGCTGGTTCGCCTGGTGATGGCAGCCAAGCTAAGGGAAAGGGGCTCTGGCATTGCTGCCTTAGACTTCCCCAGAGCTGCATCAGTGGGGCAGCCCCGGCTGAGAGGCCTGGGGCCCCTTGCGCTGCTTTATTACAGGCTGGATTTTCTTTGCTTGCTCCCCTAAGTCCCAGCTCCATCTCAGCAGCCAGCAGGGTGGCAGCAGGCCCCATGACAATCTCTGCACTAGGGAACAGAGACGGGCCCCTTGCCATGAGAGGGTGAATGTCCCCAGGGATGCAAAAGACCAAACCCCAGCTCCGTGTACCCCTGACTTGTGGGGTGCCAGGCATCTAGCTCCGTGTACCCCTGACTTGTGGGGTGCCAGGCAACTAGCTCCGTGTACCCCTGACTTATGGGGTGCCAGGCAACTGGCTCTGTGCCCATCTCTGCGCTGTGGGCATGGAAACTTTGTTTGGAGGCTGGGGCGCTGCGTGTGGAAAGGCCTGTGTTATCAGGCCCCCTTCTCCACCCCCATGGAGGGCAGGAGCACTCCCCGCTCTGCGTGTCTGAGGGGCACTGCCATTTCCAGTGCTCTGGGAAGCCCTTTGGCAGGAGGCTGGTGCTAGCTGGGGATGGTAACTGGAGTAACACCCCACACGCCTCCCTTGGATGCCAGGAGGCCAGGACAAGCAAGGACAAGATCCAGGGCGTTCTGGGAGACTATTCCCCACCCCTATGAGACATCATGTGGGGTTCTGGCACCAAACTGCCTGCCCAGAAGCTGGGAGGCCCAGAGTCCAGGCCTGCCCTGGCTTTATATTGTACTCTGTGGCTTTAGGAAGTCCTAGGGCAGCTGAGAAGCTGGTGGGAGGAGGGAGTAGCGGCTGCTCTCAGGCAGGCCGGCCTGGCTTTGTGCTGTCCTGTCTCAGCAGCTCTCTGGTCTCGCCCATAACGCTGCTCTCTTGGTGTTTTTCTAGGTTCCCTTTTCCAGCCCAGGCAGCAAGAGCGTCCACCCGCCATGGGGGCTCTGGGCAGGATATCATCGTATACTGTAAGTTTGCTATGAGACACTACAGTATAGATGATGTACTATCCTGAGCTTCACCCCTCAGCCAGGAGCTCTACTGCAGGTCCAGCCTGGCCAGCTGGGAGCAGCGGCCCAAATCACTTCTAGCACAGCACAAGTTCCTCCCCCTCCTGCAGAGGAATGGAGGGCTAAGTGGGGGGGGGGGTGGCCCTAAAGCCACCCATGAAGGCCTGGCCCTGCCTGTGGCACCCTCGCCCCTTCAGCCCCTTCCTGCATTCAGGGCGCTCCTTTTCCCCGGGTTCCAGCGTGGGACGGAAACAAGCGCTATCTTCCTGCCGCTCTGGGGCACCTGCACGAACAGGCAGCAAGTGGGGAAGCAGCCAGTGGGGAAGAAAGGGTTAACAACCACTCCTCCCGCCAGGCTGGAGCCCTGCCCTGCTGGGGGGGTATTCCACCTCCGCCTGGGCAAGAAGCAGCTGCCAGGAGGCTGAGCACACGGAGTGTCAATGAAACCGTTACCATTACTGACTTTAGTAATGATAACGGTTCTACTGCCACCCCAGCATCCGGCCAGCGAGAGCACGAGGAGCAGCACCCCACCGCCAGGTGCGGAGCAGGACCCCTCCAGGGTGCCAGCCGCTACGGGAGGCCAGCCATGAGACCTGCCCCCGGCGTCCTCTCAAAGCGGGGGAGGGGCAGGGGGAGAGCTTGGGGTACCCTGCCTGGGGGTCAGATTCCCTTGGGCCACACCCCCTCTCCCTAGTCCCTTTGCCAATCAATGAGAAATAAAGGTGTTTCCTTTGATGTCTGGATTTCTTTCCCCTATTTGTGTGATCCCAGAAAACAGCCCTCCAAAGGCAGGGCCCGGCAGTGATGCTGCCTGTGCCCCTTGCGGGGTGAGGGGCAGGGAGTGGGAACAAGCAGACCAGGAGAAACCTGCCCCAGGAGCTCTGTTCTTCCCTCCTAGAACCTGCACCCAGCGTCCCTGTCTGCCGTGGTGCTGGCTACAAGCCTGCTGCGAGAACCAGCAATTCAGGCAATTAATTGAGCTGCTCAAGGGGGGGGAAGGAGAGGGTGGTAGAAAAAAGTCCTCAGCAGTCTGCTCCCCTCTAGTGGGGCACCCCGCTCCTGCCATCCAGCCCCCCTGCTCTTCCGTTCCTGGCCTTCTCGCTCCTTACTCCAGTGTCCCATTGCATGTCCTCAGCTTGACGGCCGCCAGGCAGGGGCTCTTGTGTCCTCACGTTGCTCGGTACCCGCTTCCTCTGGGGTTTTGGGTACCTCACTCACCTCTCCGTGCCTTCATCTGCACCCAGATGGGAGGACTATCTCCCCCGCTCCGTGCAGGGCAGGTTGTGAGGCTGAGCAGGATTGCAGGGGTGAGAGATGGCCAAACCCCTCTGCTGGGCTCTACCTTCACAGAGAGCCGCTCTCTCAATAAAGAAAGGCGATGGGATCCCAGGGGACGCTGTCACCTGCTGCCCACCCCACGCTGGCAAGCTGGCAGTAAATCACGCCAGTGGGGCAGGAGCAGGCCAGCACATGGCAACCAGTCCTTGGCCAGACACAAACAATGCTATGGCAGGTGGGTAAGGGGGCAGGTGGGTCAGCAGCCCGCTGGGCCTGCCAAGCCCTCGCCTGGGCCGTTCTAGGCTGGGCTTGTATCAACGCTGGTCTTGCAGAGAGAGTTTAGGGCCCTGCAGGGCAGAGGTGGGGATGCTGGGGTGGTGGTGGGAGCTGGGGAGCAGTAGGGGGCTGGGGGAAGGTTAGCATCCCAGGGCCAGGGACTACTGTACTGCAATGCAAACAGCAACACAGCAGTGGGGTGCGTGTGCTGGGGAAGCATCAGTGGGTCCACCTATTGCCAGGGGCTTGGGACTGCAGGAGCTGAGGTGGGGGCTGGGGGGAGGTCAGGGGGCACTGGAGGGGAACTGGGGGACTGCAGGGGTGTGGGGGCTGTAGGGGGCCCATGGGGGCAGTAGGAAGCTGGGGGAGCTGTGGGGATTGCGGGGCACTGGGGGGTGGGGGGCTGCAGGGGCCGGGGGAGCTGAGGGGATTGCGGGGCACTGGGGGTGGGGGGCTGTAGGGGCTGGGGAGATTGCGGGGCACTGGGGGGTGGGGGACTGTAGGGGCTGGGGGGCTGAGGGGATTGCCGAATCCTGAGGGGTGGGGGGCTGTGCGGGCTGGGGGGGCTGAGGGGATTGCGGGGCCCTGGGGGGTGGGGGGTGTAAGGGGCCCCAGGGGGCTGTAGGGGGCCCAGGGGCTGAGGGGGTTGCCAGGCCCGGGGGGGCTGAGGGGATTGTGGGGGGGCTGTAGGGGACCCGGGGGGCTGTGGAGGCCAGGGGGGCTGAGGGGATTGCGGGGTGCTGGGGGTGGGGTGTGTAGGGGGCCCAGGGGCTGAGAGGATTGCCGGACCCTGGGGGTAGGGGGCTGTAGGGCCCGGGGGGCTGAGGGGATTGTGGGGTGCTGGGGGTGGGGGGTGTAGGGGGCCCCGGGGCTGAGGGGACTGCGGGGCACTGGAGGCCGGGGGGCCTGAGGCGATTGCAGGGGGGCTGTGGAGGCCGGGGGCCTGAGGGGATTGCGGGGGGGCTGTAGGGGGTTGCCTGGCCCAGGGGGGGCTGAGGGGATTGTGGGGGGCTGTAGGGGATTGTGGGGGGCTGGAGGACACCCGGGGCGCTGAGGGGGTTACCAGGCCCGGGGGGGGCTGAGGCGATTGCAGGGGGCTGTAGGGGGTCTGGGGGGGCTGAGGGGATTGCGGGGGGCTGTAGGGGGTCCGCGGCGCTGAGGGGGATGCCAGGCCCGGGAGGGGCTGAGGGGATTGCGGGGGGGGGGGGGCTGTGGAGGCCGGGGGTGCTGAGAGGGTTGCGGGAGGGCTGTAGGAGGCCGAGGGGGCTGTGGAGGCTGGGGGGGGCTGAGGGGATTGCGGGGGGGCTAGAGGGGGCCCAGGGCGCTGAGGGGGTTGCCAGGCCCGGGGGGCGGTGCTGGAGGGGATTGCGGGGGGCTGGAGGGGGCCCGGGGCGCTGAGGGGGTTTCCAGGCCCGGGGGGGTGGGGGTGGGGCTGAGGCGATTGCAGGGGGCCCCGGGGGGCTGTGGAGGCCGGGAGGGGCTGAGGGAATTGCGGGGGGGCTGTAGGGGGTTGCCAGGCCCAGGGGGGGCTGTAGGGGATTGCAGGGGGCTGGAGGGGGCCTGGGGCGCTGAGGGGGTTGCCAGGCCTGGGGCTGGGGGCTGAGGTGATTGCGGGGGGCTGGAGGGGACCCGGGGGGGCTGTGGAGGCCAGGGGGGCTGAGGGGATTGTGGGGAGGCTGTAGGGGGATGCCAGGCCCAGGGAGGGGGGCTGTAGGGGATTGCGGGGGGCTGGAGGGGGCCCGGGACGCTGAGGGGGTTGCCAGGCCCGGGGGGAGGGGAGGGTGAGGCAATTGCAGGGGGCTGTAGGGGGCCCGGGGACGCTGTGGAGGCCGGGGGCGCTGAGGGAATTGTGGGGGGGGCTGTAGGGGTTGCCAGGCCCGGGGGGGGGCTGTAGGGGATTGTGGGGGGCTGGAGGGGGCCCAGGGCGCTGAGGAGGTTGCCAGGCCCGGGGGGGGGGCAGAGGGGATTGTGGGGGGGGGGGCTGTGGAGGCCGGGGGGGGCTGAGGGGATTGCGGGGGGGCTGTAGGGGGTTGCCAGGCCCGGGGGAGGGCTGAGGCGATTGCGGGGGGCTGTAGGGGGCCCGGGGGGGCTGTGGAGGCCGGGGGGGCTGAGGGGATTGCGGGGAGGCTGTAGGGGGATGCCAGGCCCAGGGAGGGAGGCTGTAGGGGGATTGCGGGGGGGCTGGAGGGGGCCTGGGGCGCTGAGGGGGTTGCCAGGCCCGGGGGGGGGGCTGAGGGGATTGCGGGGGGGCTGTGGAGGCCGGGGGGGCTGAGGGGATTGTGGGGGGGGCTGTAGGGGGTTGCCAGGCCCGGGGGAGGGCTGAGGCAATTGCGGGGGGCTGTAGGGGGCCCGGGGGGGCTGTGGAGGCCGGGGGGCTGAGGGGATTGCGGGGAGGCTGTAGGGGGATGCCAGGCCCAGGGAGGGGGGCTGTAGGGGATTGCGGGGGGCTGGAGGGGGCCTGGGGCGCTGAAGGGGTTGCCAGGCCCGGGGCTGGGGGCTGAGGTGATTGCGGGGGGCTGGAGGGGACCAGGGGGGGCTGTGGAGGCCAGGGGGGCTGAGGGGATTGCGGGGAGGCTGTAGGGGGATGCCAGGCTCAGGGAGGGGGGCTGTAGGGGATTGCGGGGGGCTGGAGGGGGCCCGGGGCGCTGAGGGGGTTGCCAGGCCCGGGGGGAGGGGAGGGTGAGGCGATTGCGGGGGGCTGTAGGGGGCCGGGGGGGCTGTGGAGGCCGGGGGCGCTGAGGGAATTGCGGGGGGGCTGTAGGGGATTGTGGGGGGCTGGAGGGGGCCCAGGGCGCTGAGGAGGTTGCCAGGCCCGGGGGGGGAGGCGATTGCGGGGGGCTGTGGAGGCCGGGGGGGCTGAGGGGATTGCGGGGGGGCTGTAGGGGGTTGCCAGGCCCGGGGAAGGGCTGAGGGGATTGCAGGGGGGCTGTGGAGGCCAGGGTGGGGCTGAGGGGATTGCGGGGGGGGCTGTAGGGGGTTGCCAGGCCCGGGGGGAGGGGCTGAGGCGATTGCGGGGGGCTGTAGGGGGCCCGGGGGGGGCTGTGGAGGCCAGGGGGACTGTAGGGGTTGCCAGGCCCGGGGGGGGGCTGTAGGGGGTTGCCAGGCCCGGGGGGGCCTGGAGGCGATTGCGGGGGGCTGTAGGGGGGCCCGGGGGGGCTGTGGAGGCCGGGGGGGCTGTAGGGGTTGCCAGGCCCGGGGGGGGGGCTGTAGGGGATTGCGGGGGGGCTGTGGAGGCCGGGGGGGGCTGTAGGGGATTGCGGGGGGGCTGTAGGGGTTGCCAGGCCCGGGGGAGGGCTGAGGCGATTGTGGGGGGCTGTAGGGGGCCCGGGGGGGCTGTGGAGGCCAGGGGGGCTGTAGGGGTTGCCAGGCCGGGGGGGGGGCTGTAGGGGATTGCGGGGGGGCTGTAGGGGGTTGCCAGGCCCGGGGGGGGGGCTGGAGGCGATTGCGGGGGGCTGTAGGGGGTCCGGGGGGGCTGTGGAGGCCGGGGGGGCTGTAGGGGTTGCCAGGCCCGGGGGGGGGCTGTAGGGGATTGCGGGGGGGCTGTGGAGGCCGGGGGGGGCTGTAGGGGATTGCGGGGGGGCTGTAGGGGTTGCCAGGCCCGGGGGAGGGGCTGAGGCGATTGTGGGGAGCTGTAGGGGGCCCGGGGGGGCTGTGGAGGCCAGGGGGGCTGTAGGGGTTGCCAGGCCCGGGGGGGACTGTAGGGGATTGCGGGGGGGCTGTAGGGGGTTGCCAGGCCCGGGGGGGGGCTGTAGGGGATTGCGGGGGGGGCTGTGGAGGCCGGGGGGCTGTAGGGGATTGCGGGGGGCTGTAGGCGATTGCGGGGGGCTGGAGGGGGGCCCAGGGGGGCTGTGGAGGCCGGGGGGGGCTGTAGGGGATTGCGGGGGGGCTGTAGGCGATTGCGGGGGGCTGGAGGGGGCCCAGGGGGGCTGTGGAGGCCGGGGGGGGGGCTGTAGGGGATTGCGGGGGGGGCTGTAGGGGGTTGCCAGGCCCGGAGGGGGCTGAGGGGATTGCGGGGGGCTGTAGGGGTTGCCAGGCCCGGGGGGGGGCTGAGGGGATTGCGGGGGGCTGTGGAGGCCGGGGGGGGCTGTAGGGGATTGCGGGGGGGCTGTAGGGGTTGCCAGGCCCGGGGGGGGGCTGTAGGGGATTGCGGGGGGGCTGTGGAGGCCGGGGGGGGCTGTAGGGGATTGCGGGGGGCTGTGGAGGCCGGGGGGGCTATAGGGGTTGCCAGGCCCGGGGGGGGGCTGTAGGGGATTGCGGGGGGGCTGTAGGGGTTGCCAGGCCCGGGGGGGCTGAGGGGATTGCGGGGGGCTGGAGGGGGTCCGTGGCGATGAGGGGGTTGGCAGGCCGGGGGGGCTGAGGGCAGGCACCCCGGGGTTCCGGGGCCCGGGGGGCTCTGGCGAGCGAGTGGCTGTCCCCCAGCAGAGGGCGCCCCGCCCGGCCCGGCGCAGACTGTGTCTGGGCTGCCCCGCCCCCACGCTAGAGCCCCGCCCCTCGATGTGCTCCCAGCCAATGGGGCGAGCCCGCCGCGCCCGCTCCCACAATGCCCCGCGGCGGGTGAAGATGGCGGCGCCTGGGGCGCGAGGCGGCGGGGCCTGTAGCTGCTGAGGCCTGGGCGTGTCATGGCCGCCGTGGGCCGCGCTCTGCGCTGGGCGCTGCGGGCGGGGAGGTCGGGCCGGGCCCGCACAGGTGAGAGAGCCGCGGGGCGGGGCCCGGGCCGGGTTGTGGGGGAGGGAAGCCGGGCCTGGGGCCGGGTTGGGGAGGCCGGCCGGGGCCGGGGCCGGGGCCGGGTTGGGGGGGGGTGCCTGGCCTGGCCTGGCCTGGGAGGGGAGCCGGGGGGCGGGGCCCGGGCCGCGTTGCGGGGGGGCGGGGCCGGGTTGGGGGGGGCCTGGCCTGGCCTGGCCTGGGAGGGGAGCCGGGGGACGGGGTCCGGGGCCCGGGCCGCGTTGCGGGGGGGCGGGGCCGGGCCGGGTTGGGGGGGCCTGGCCTGGCCTGGCCTGGGAGGGGAGCCGGGGGGCGGGGCCCGGGCCGGGTTGTGGGGGGAGGGAAGCCGGGCCTGGGGCCGGGTTGGGGAGGCCGGCCGGGGCCGGGGCCGGGTTGGGGGGGGTGCCTGGCCTGGCCTGGCCTGGGAGGGGAGCCGGGGGGCGGGGCCCGGGCCGCGTTGCGGGGGGCGGGGCCGGGTTGGGGGGGCCTGGCCTGGCCTGGCCTGGGAGGGGAGCCGGGGGACGGGGTCCGGGGCCCGGGCCGCGTTGCGGGGGGCGGGGCCGGGCCGGGTTGGGGGGGCCTGGCCTGGCCTGGCCTGGGAGGGGAGCCGGGGGGCGGGGCCCGGGCCGGGTTGGGGGGGAGGGAAGCCGGGCCTGGGGCCGGGCGGGGGAGGGGAGCCGGGGGGGCGGGGCCGGGTTGGGGGGGGCCTGGCCTGGCCTGGGAGGGGAGCCGGGGGGCGGGGCCGGGCCGCGTTGTGGGGGAGGGAAGCCGGGCCTGGGGCCGGGCGGGGGAGGGGAGCCGGGGGGGCGGGGCCGGGTTGGGGGGGCCGTGAAGCTTTGGAGGGCCCCATTGGGCTGGTTCTGGTTCACTTAGCTCTGGTCTACACTAGGACTTTAGGTCGAATTTAGCAGCGTTAAATTGATGTAAACCTGCACCCGTCCACACGATGAAGCCCTTTATTTTGACTTAAAGGGCTCTTAAAATCGATTTCCTTACTCCACCCCTGACAAGTGGATTAGCGCTTAAATCAGCCTTGACAGGTCGAATTTGGGGTACTGTGGACACAATTTGACGGTATTGGCTTCCGGGAGCTATCCCAGAGTGCTCCATTGTGACTGCTCTGGACAGCACTCTCAACTCAGATGCACGATTGTTTGCCGTTGCTGTGTCGCAGGGAGGGGCGACTGACGACACGGCTTACAGGGTTGGTTTACAGGGAGCTAAAATCAACAAAGGGGGTGGCTTTACATCAAGGAGTATTTCAGGCAGGGCTTCACGGAGGGTTCCAATAAGAAATGGTGCACCTAAGCTATTGTTCTTATTGGAACAAGGAGGTTAGTCTGGCCTCTGATTGATACATGGCTATATCTACCTCTCTGCACCTTCTCTGTGAGTGACTGCAGTGTGACCTAGAGGAATGAGCCCCCTAGACGGGGGCGGGGAGGGGTTTGCAAATGAGTACAAAACAAATCTGGTCTATTTCTTGTTTTGTTACACTCCATCTATCTTTTACTGCATGCCATCCACATCTCATGGCTGCTCGGCAGAAGATGGTACAATAGGACTGCTAGCCATCCTCATCGCTTGCCTGCCTGCATGCCATCTCGGCAGAAGATGATGCAGTAGGACTGCTAGCAATCCGCATCACCTGCCTGCTCGCCATAAGATGGTTCAATAGGACTGACTGCAGGACTAAAGAGAATGACCTGATCAAGTCACTCCAAATTTAGTACCTGCGCCCATGTCTGCCCAGGCGCTCCTGATCGACCTCACACAGGTGACCAGGAGCACCTCGGACATGACGATGACGGCTACCAGTCCTATTGCACCATCTGCTGCCACAAGGCAATGGGTTGCTGCTGCTGTGTAGCAATGCCGTACCACGTCTGCCAGCACCCAGGAGACATACGGTGACAGTGAGCTGAACGGGCTCCATGCTTGCCGTGGTATGGCGTCTGCACAGGTAACTCAGGAAAAAAGGCGCGAAACGATTGTCTGCCCTTGCTTTCACGGAGGGAGGGAGGGAACGGGGGCCTGACGATATGTACCCAGAACCACCCGCGACAATGTTTTAGCCCCATCAGGCATTGGGATCTCAACCCAGAATTCCAATGGGCAGCGGAGACTGCGGGAACTGTGGGATAGCTACCCACAGTGCAGCGCTGGTTACAGGGCTCTGGTCTGCGTGTTTGGAGCTGTCCCCGGTGCTCTGCTGCCGCCACTCAGACGCTGGTCAACACCCCAGACTGCCAGCCTCGGCCACCAGGAGCCAACCTCCCTCCTCCCTGCAGTGCTCAGCCCCCGTCTTCTGATCAGGGAGCTCTCCCCAGACTTGGAGAGCAACAGACCAGTGGGATGGGTCTGGGGGTGGGGGTGCTGTAACTGGCCAGTGTAGAGGAAAGCTCCGTACACAGTTGCTCAAATAAGAGTTTCTGCCTTGTAATGGTTAGGTCGCATGTTGAGAAACTCTCCACTATGGTTACTCACCGTACCCTGACATCCGTTATAGCACCCGTGTTTCAGTTTCCTGGCAAAAGGAGCACAACCAGCTCTTCTTCCTGCTATCGCCGTGAGAGTTCAATAGTGCTTAGGAGTCATTGTTCAGCACTTTCTTTTTTCTTTTGGTATTGAGTGCAGTCACTATTTAGCTTTGTACGACCCACCTCAAGTCAGCCCATAAAGCCAGCCTCCATCTCCCAAACAAGCCCCTTTGCGCTTTCTCCCTTGCCGCCCCCCACATTTGTCAGGAGCTCCCAATAAACATCTGCAAAGCCATCTCATTAGCCTCCTTTGAATTCTTCCTTTGCTGTGATGTTTACAAAAACTTGATGGTGACTGGGCCACTGGTGTGAAACCAGTGTGTCTTGCTGACTAATATCATCTCATTGTTTCTTTGCACTTGTCCATCTCTTGTTTTTTGTCTTCTACTTGGACTGTAAGCTCTTTGGGTCGGTTCCATCTTCTTGTTGTGTGTTTTTACCGCAGCTTGCACAGTGGAGTCCTGGTCCATGACTGAGGTTCCTAGGTGCTAGCATGATACAAATAGTAAATATCAATGTACAGGCATAAAGGACACGTTACCGGCCCCGAAGCTTCTTGTAGAAAGTGAGAATTCTTAGCAGTCTGACAGCTTTGGAGCAATGACTGAAGTACTAGTGTAGACTCAGCTCAGATGCCTTTCTCATCATGTTTATCTGAACTTGCTCATTGCTGACTTTAGTGACTTGGTGGTAAAAATGCATGTGCCCAGTCTGCACTTGTGGTTCCATTGTTAGCACCAAAGGTGGGAGAACTGGTAAAATTTCTCTCTGCACAGGTTGCTGAAGAGGCTGCTAGATATGGACAATACAATTCAGACACAATTCCCTAAATGAATGCTGGGAAATGGTGCTGACCCCTTTTCATTGTGGAAGCTGTGTGAACTGGCACATGAGAAGGCTTTATAAGTGTAATGGGCAGCAAGGAGGGAGGCTGGGGAGAATTACAGGTAGGGGCTTCAGCCATACTGCATGAGAGTGTTTGCTAATATCTCTTCTAATGCGATTAATCCTTTGTACATAGTTCGTACTAATGGTTTAGGAGCCTTGATTATGGAATTCTCTGGTTATGTAGTGTGTGTGCCCTTGTCATTACCATCCCAACTGTAACCTGAAAGAACCATAAGCTGTTAGTGGGATTGAGGAACCCATATTGGTAAAATCTAATTTCTCAGCTGTGTTTTGAGGCCATCTTGCTTAGAATATCTTGTAGCATTTTCGGTCCAGCATGCAGCAGGTTTAAGTTGGTATTGCTGTGTTGGTTTTTCAGTCAGTGGTGCCTGTTTCCTGGAGAACAGAGCCCAGAGGGTCAACATATTCCCTGCTTGCTTTTATGGAAACATTTCTGCCCTGGATACCATCCTAGGAATTTCCAGAGAGAAGACCGAATGTGCACTGGGTCAACATCCACCATCGGTGTCTTACTGCAAAGGTAAACTCAGCTGCCTGCATGATTTTTCTAGGGAGGTGGTGAACAATAGCAATAGAGGCAGCCTCTAAAGAGGGCATAGCGGAAAGTTGGAAAACAGCCTTGGAAGGACTGACTTGCAAAAGATGTTCCAACAGTTGTAAATAGCTGGGTATCCCATGAGGTGGGGATTAAAGGCTGTACATTCTTGTAGTCTCTCAAGATTAATCTCGTCAGCCACTTAATATTTTGTTTTGTGCAGTGATATCTTTTGAGTCTTTGGTGCACTAATCCATTAAATGTGTGCAGTCTGGTGTGATTGCAGTGTTCTTACTTGAACACCTTATTTCTCTCTCTGCAGCTGAGCAAGATAACTTGTTGGTGCACCAACCAGATGAGCCAGAGAACCCCAAGGTTCTGAGAGTTGCCATCATTGGAGCACCAAATGCTGGGAAATCTACCCTCTCGAATAAACTCTTGGGCAGAAAGGTAAAGCTTTGCAGCATCTGAGAACCAGGTGACAGATTGTTTTTGTCTACGTTTCTTAGATGTTGTACACATCTGACTTGTTTCCTGCAGATTTTCCCAGTCTCTAAGAAGGTGCACACCACACGATGCAATGCCTGTGGGGTCATCACAGAAGAAGACACTCAGCTGGTAGGTATTCCACATGTGATAAGGTAACTCTCAGCAATAGACATTTGTGATCCATAGCATTTTGCTTACACCTTGCAGTCTACTTCAGTTGCACAAACATGAGTTTTAGCTTCCTGTCAGTAATTACAGGAAGATCCTTATTGGTTTGGCTTTCTCTTTCTAGATCATCCTGGACACACCTGGCCTCATCAGCCACACGAAAGCCAAAAGGTATCTCTCTCAATGTGGGTAGATGAAAAATCCAGCTGGGCAAAGTTTGAGGAGACCAGAACATGAGTTCTGTTGTAGGAGCTTGTAGAGCAGATTGAAAGGGGTGTAATGGGTATTTACTTGGGATAGAGGTGTGTTGTGCACAGAATGTGAAGGTCTTTGAGCCCAGTTCTTGTCTCTGAACTACCTTAAAATTACCAGCAATCCAGTAGCACCTAGAGTCCACAGTCTTTGTTGAGATCACATTGTGCTAGGCACTGCACTCTCAGTGAGAGATGATGTAGGCCAAAAGGTGGCACTGCACTAGCTGGGTACTAAAAGGGAATGTGAAATGGACTGTCTTTTGTTTTAAGAGGAAATTCTTCCACTCTGCCATGGGATGGAAAAGGAGGCAGTTTATGATCAGATGCATGTGTAGTTCCATAATAGGTATTTGTCTTTCAGGCATAATCTGGAGAAATCCCTGATACATGATCCATGGGACAGCATGAAACATGCAGACTTAGGTGGGAACCCAGTTCTCCTACTATATCAAGTCAAATCCTGATCTGTCTGCGGTGGGTACTTGTATGGCTCCCATTGCCCTGGTATCCGAGTGCCCATGTACTGAGTGGAGCAGCAATGGCAGCTCCTGGGTGTGCGGGGATAGAGTGGAGGGGAACTACATACAGGAACTCTCCACATATGTAACTGGGGAAAAGTATAGTATACTTGTACAACGCTTAAGGAGGAAGTGTGGATGATTGGACTGGGCTGGGTTGTTGAGGATTAGTTAGTATGGCACTGGGAAGATGTAGAAAAGTGCATTATTTTATCATATTAGGAACCTCTACACGCACACTCAGACGTACACATTCTGCTGTGGAAGTAAGAAAGGCGGTGATGTGAACAAAGAGTCCACAAGCTGAGGGGCATTAAAGACTGATATCTGCCACGAGGGGATTGAAATGTATCTCTCTGTTTGGCAGTTCTGGTTTTGGTGGATGTGTCAGAACGCTGGACACAGAACCGTCTGAGTCTCCAGGTGCTGCAGTGTCTTTCTCAGTTCCCACAGATTCCCAGCATCCTGGTCATGAACAAGGTAAATGAGAGAGGGATCCAAGTCCTCTGTTTTATACAGTGAGTTAGCGCTTGGGCATTACATACAGGGCCTCTTTCCTTTATACCTCTATTGAAGGTTAAACTAAGTGTTGTTCTCTTGGCAAGTGCCACAGAAGAGATCAATTTATTTGAAGGTTTCCAGTGTCTTGTAACTTACAAGGGGGTGATGTAGGCCTGCAGCAAATAGTGCAGACCTTACATCTGTGATTCATCCCTCTTTCACCTCAAGATTTGGATTATTACATGAGACAGTTACATTTGTCCCAGTTCATCTGGAACAAATTCCTGATCAGTCTTTCTATTTCAGGTGGATCTGCTGAAGAGAAAGGCCCTTCTGCTGGACCTGGTCACTGAGCTCACAGAAGGAGTTGTAAATGGAAAGAAACTGAAAGTGAAATCTATGTCTAAGATACATTCGGACTCCACCAGAAACAATCCCCTTCAAAGCATCCAAACTTGCCTGTCTGAAAATACCTCCAAACAGTCTGGTTATCTCCAGGATGCCAGCGAAGTCCAGAGAGGCTCTAGCTCAGATACCAGTTGTAACATGAGGGCATCAAACTCTAATCATATGTTGGAAGGCACAGAGAAAGTACAAATTGCAAACCACCAGGTATCTAGAGACTTAAAGAACAAGAAAGGCTGGCCACACTTCCAGGAGATCTTCATGCTAGCAGCTATTAATGGAGAGGCAGTGGAGACACTGAAGGTAAATTAGCCTGAAATAATTTCCATCTACCTTGTGACTTGCACCCTCTCACTCTTGTGGTTTGAGCCTCATATCGTATGAGGAAATAGCCAACCTTTATTTGTCTGACCTGTCCCCTTTCTCCTGGCCTGCGGTCTGCAGCTCCCTGAGGAGTCCCTGGTATGCTGGTGATGGGGTGCCATCTGACCAAGGGAACTGTGCCATGTCAGACTACTTAAGAGTGCCATCTTTGATTTATTTCCACCTAGGACTTTTACTGGTGACTTTGGGTCCCCTTTAACTGCCCTTTGTGTTGACAGAAGTACCTCCTGATGCAAGCCAAGCCAGGTCGATGGGAGTACCACAGCAGGGTTTTGACAAGCCAGTCCCCCCAGGAGATCTGTGATGATATAATTAGGGGGAAGCTACTGGAGTATCTGCCACAAGAAGTGCCCTACACTGTGCTTCAGGTAGGAAGCAGCTCAGTGAGAGCAGCTTTTCGTAAGTGTCCATATGATGAGAGAGATCCTTCCTGGTAATCTCTAAAGGTTTGGGTTTAATGTTTGAGGGCGTGTGGCACTGCATTATTCCCAAGTCCTTCACTGGGGAGTAGGGCCCTCATGATGCCTGTTGTGCATGTGTGCTTGGCCACGAGAGGGACAGGCAGCGGAATAGGAGTCTCTGGGGCCTGGAGGCAGGGGACTTTGCTCTTTGGAGGGGTTTACTGAGTGGTTGGGTTTGTGCCCTAATGTTGCAGAAGACGGAGATGTGGGAGGAAGGGCCGAGTGGGGAGCTCATCATCCTGCAGAACCTGCTCGTCCCAAAGGAGACCCATGTGGTGAGTATTCTTGGAGAATCTCTATGCTCTTTCGCTGCTGATTGGGGGAGTCTGCTGATTGGGAGCAGAAGAAAGGAGGGTCTGCAGACCCAGTGTGGGAGTAGGATCCTTCATGCATCCATGGAGATCAGTCACATTTGTATGGCGCATACTAGACATCCTGTTTCTTAGCCAGTTCTCTGCTATAGGCTAATGCGCCCTGCACTAGGCTTGCAGTACAGACTCTGAGTCCTGTGGGCTGTGAATTGCAGGTCAGGCACAGTGTAAAGTGCATTAAATGTCTGTAGCCCTGTGGTACGTCTAGACAGAGAGTGAGGCCAAACCGCCCATTATGTACTAGGTGGAGCATAGCAGTGACAGGGTCTACTCTGTACCTTCCTTACCCTCTGACTAGAGCATGAAGGCACAGCATGCGCCAGCCTCATGTGTGAGTTGGCCAGTCAGTCACTCGAGGTACCTATCTCCCCTTTGGCACAGACCATGCTGTCTGTGTCTGAGGTAGAGAGTACAGGCCCTCCCAGTGTCAAGCAGCTGGTTTTTCAGTTTCTCTGCAAACGGGGCAAGAGTCTGCACTGTTCTGTGGTGACAGATACCCCATAGGCAGGGTTCAGGGATGCTTCAAATCAGTGTTTCTCAACGATCGGTCCGTGGACTGGCACCAGTCCCTGAGATCTCCCTGACGCAATTTAGGAAAGCAGCAAGCCGGTCTCTGGTATCAAAAAGGTTGAGAGACACTGAAATGAAACATCCTCTTTATCTTCTTCCCCAGTCACCATGTTGCTCTCTCGGGCTGTCTCTCCCTGCAGTTAGGTGGCACTGCCAGAAGTCAGGGAGGTGAATGTGATAATCCTCTGTCTCTGTTTGTGGTACAGAAGATGCTGATCGGTGTGGGAGGCCAGCTGATCAGCAAGATTGCTCAGGAGGCCGGGGAGGACCTGATGAACATATTCCTGTGTGACATCCGCTTGAAGCTCTGTGTGAAGCTCAAGAAATGAGCTGCTTGTTTAGATGTTACCAACTCTTTTTGTCTGACCACTAATGAAGAGATGGACACGCTGAAGAACATGGAGCCACCCCTTTATGGTGGGGCTGACGCCCGCTGGCAATATCAGGGCACTGAGATTCCCCCTGGGTACAGTGAGGGATGCTGAGTAAACCAAAACTAAAGTAGAATGTTCTTTGAAGGGTCTGAACTGCAAAAAGTTTAATGGTGGAACGTGGTGAAATTCTCAGACATTGACCTACCCCCCAACAGATTATCCAGTGAGAACTTGGAGTGGATGTTGGGGAACCAACCCCCCCCCACCCAGTTTTAGTGCTGCATTTACAGAGCAATCTCTTTGCTTCCTCTACTGCTTCTTGGCTTTCGCATCCTTTGGAGGACTAGCCTGCTATCTGTACTGCCAAAAGCAAAAACCTGTGGCTGGAAGTTGTGCTGAAAATGATGATTCTGCAGTGGCAGAATACGGGGTGGAGAGAGGAGGCAAGAGCACAAATTGAATCTCTAAGATCAGGGTCATTTCTGAAGGGCTCAAAGAGGTGTCACCTGCATGCATGTCCAGATGCATGCATTGTATTGCACCTCAGTGGGCATGAGTGATATGAGCACTGGTCTGTCAAATACTCTCCAGACCATTAATGTCCACTGTGAAGAAGTAACTCTAGTCTCCCTCAGGCAAGAGCTTAAAACGCTTCTACAGTAATTGGTGTTCTAGGAAAACTGCAGACTCAGCTATGAGTAGCTGAGTGAGTACTGTAAAGTGAAATGCTGCCTGTATAGTGCTTGGGGGTCCTTTGGCCTGAAAGTGGCTTTGTAAATATAACTGTCCTTTAAAGTCAAAAGGACTGCTGTCTTCTGGCAAAGAAAGGGTTATCGGGTGTATTCCCCTCATCTCATGTCTTCAGTGCTGCAAGGCCACGTAGCTGTACAACTAGAAATGGTGGTGGTCCAGCTGAAAAGGCTGCACCAGCCCAGTCCAGCTCACATGCTGATCTTCCTTGTGATTGCAGCACCTCGTGCTGTCTGCCTGGTGCTGCTTCTGCAGGCTGTGGAAGTCTAATGAATGACGGATCATGGAAATTGGGCCTTTAGGAGCCAGATGTTTGCTGATGGGGGCTGGAGCAGAGGATGTTGCTTGCAAATAGAGCCACTCATTCCTTTTTAGTGTAGCTGGGATAGCAGGTGGGTATTGCTGAGGGAATCACTCTATTGGTTGCAGTCAAAGAGAGACATGTTGACTAAGCAGTGGTTCCCAACTAGAGTGCACCTGCAATAGGGTGGTGCATGGATACGGTCTCCCTTCCCCTACGCAGTTGGCACCCTGGCCTCTTTCCATTCTCCTCTTTCCTATTTTGCAAGCATTTTTGTCGTCTTGTTTTCTGTCCCTTATCCTTTTCTTTCACTTGCCAGAAGGCTGTGAGGGAGGGACCAGGCTGCACGTGCTGCTGTGACTGAGCTGAGTATCAGGAGAGCAGAGAAGGAGAGCGTGGGTCAGTGGGCTGCTGTCTGAACATGAAGCTCTGTATACCTGAGGGGCTGCTGCAGGAGGCTGGGGAAAGGGGAATGCTTCCCAAGGAGCTGCCTGATTTTAGAAGCGGCAATCTGAGAAAATTGCCATGGGGTGGACAGTGGATCCATTGAAAGGCTTTCTCTACTCCCATTGCTCCTTATCTCCTTTGCACTGCCCCAGGGGATTCTAGGTGTGCCCCTGGTTGGAGAAGCAGGGATGTCGCAGGTCAGGCTTGAGGTTCATTGCAGAGCTGGCAGGGACGTTCGCCTTCACTGGTAGCGGGTGACACGGGTCAGGACTGAACGCCATGGAGATTGAGAAGACTAAAATCTGAGCTGCATGGCAGTCTATGGGCTTGTGTTGCCCTTCCAAGAGCTATGTTGGTGTTGGCACGGACTGGCACAGCCTCTGCAGACAAAGATGAGATGAGCTGTTTACTGGCACCAAGATGCATTAACTGGCATATTATAGATATGTATCTAGACGACTGTTTCTCAAATGTGGTGGTCATGGCTGCATGTAGCCACCAGGGAATTTTCTTGCAGCCACAGCCTCCTGGGCGGGGATGGGGGAGAAAGCAGTGGCCCCCTCCCCCAAGGCCGCCAGCAATGGTTGGGTCCTGCCCACCTCCGGGGAAGACAAGCTAGAGGAGCAGGCAGCCAGTAAGTTCCCCACCTTCCCAGGGCTGGTGGGGGCAGGCTTCAGCCCTCGGGTGGCAGGCTCCAGCCACAGGGCTTCAGGCTCCGTTTCCCGGCTGTACAGTGGCGGGCTCTGCCCCAAGGTCACTCCCCCCCAGCACCTGGCCCCTGCTGCCTCCCTATCCATCTCCCCATCCAGGGCTTAATTTGTCCTCAGGCTTGCTGGGGCTGAGTAAGCCTGCTGGGAAATGTGGTATTTGTATGTTTGTTTATATCACTTTTCACAGCAGACTTAGTAACTAACATGTCTTTTTTAAATTTAAAAAAAAAGGGCAACCAAAAAAAGCAAAAGACATAAGAAAAAATACAAGAACTTACCAAGCACCTTATTTGTTTCTATTCTGTTTAGGCCTAGTAAAGAATAGAGACAACTGTATGTTATTTTTATTGAGTCTGGGGAAAAAATCCCAAATAAATTACAATGATTTGGACATGTATATGTGCATATTTCTTTTTCCTAAAGTTAATTAAGTATTTAGGAAAAATTGTCAGAGTGGCCACCACCATCACTCTGAGGCTACCAAAAAAATTGTGAGAACCCCTGATCTAGATTCATCATTCCCCTGCCGTGTGGGTTTGCTATATAAATCAGGTGATTGACTCCTTTATTCAGATCACAAGCCACAGAGTGTTGATCTCTCCATGTTCCCAGAGCTAGCCTTGCTAAAGGATCTTGCACATGGTAGGAGATCTCTTGAGACATCAAGCTACATTTCCCATTCTGTGGTGTTTACAAGCAGCCCTGAGTGAGGAGGCACTTAAGGTGCTGCCCAGGCAATTAAAATAAGGATACCTTCAGGTCCCCCAGGCACTCCCAGCTCCTGTTTGGAACCCAAACCTCTCATGAAATCCAGTGCCACTTTCTTCCTTCCCAGAGAAAAGGGGAGGCTTCGGTGGCACTGACAAAACCCACTGAGCCATTAAAGACTCTGCCATGGAGGAGATAAGAGCATCTCTGAGCGACAGTGAGCTGCCTTCAGATAGTAAGGGGATACCCTGACTTCTTTCTCTCAATGCGGGGGATATTTTGGTGCCCTGAATGTTTCTAACTGACTTCTATTCCACTGACAATAAAATGAGGTCCCCGCTCAAGCAGTCGTTTCTCTTTCCCTTTCTGTCAGACAGCAGCAGCTACCTGGGATCTGTTTTACTCTGACTAAAATCAGGACACTTTCATGTATCTTCTTTCTTCCCAGCTGAACTTAGATCACCTTTCCATAGCAGTGGATTGTTCACAGGTGCTTCTGAAGTTGACACCTTGCAGGGAAGAGAGACTGGTAAAGGAGCTTTGAGGATTCAAAAGGTTGTTTCATTTGGTGTCCGATACAATGAGGAAACCATTCCTTTCTGAAATGTTGACAGACAAAGTCAGTCTCAAGCTGCCACAAAGCATATTTCAGTGATTTTTCCAGGCTGAAGATCAGAGCCCAGTGCCTGGAGCAGCTGGTCCCTAGGAGTGAGAGGTGATGGAAAATCAATGCAAAATGTATTTCCTTGAAATGGAAATACTGTGTGTGAAAATGCTTAGTTGCCTAACTACCCGACTGACTCAGTGAGAGGCTGTGCTTAGGGCCTGCTCAGTCTGAAATGTGAGGCAGTAGCTCATTAATAAGGCTTGGCAAATAGATTAATTAGACATCAGCCAATCAGTTCTCATATGAAAGGTACTGTTAGTATTTGTCTGAAGGCCCAGACTACGGAAGGTGCTATCTTCCTGGAACACAGATATATTTTAATTCTTCCTGATTTTGGGAAGGCAACATGGGCATGGAGGGGGCTAGTCAGGGCTCTTCATATTGTACTAAGCTAACAAATGCCACTGTAGTAGTTAGGATGAAATGATAATGGGGTTAGGCAGCCATGTGATCAGGTGTCCATGGGGTTGGGAACATGGAGGTCAGGTGACAATGCAGTTAGATGACAGGAATAGTAACCTGTGGAGTGAGATGCTACTGGGCTAAGGAGTAATGCCTGGCATCTAGATGCTGCACTGATAATCTTCCGAAAAAGCTTAGGAGTCTTGTTTGTCTCTTGGAAAACGCTGACATGTTGCAGACTGAGGTTTGATTTCAGTTATTGGATCCAAGAGATCCACTTCCTGGACACTACAGTGCTAATAAACAATGGCCACATAAACACCACCCTATACCGGAAACCTACTGACCGCTATTCCTACCTGCATGCCTCCAGCTTTCACCCTGACCACACCACACGATCCATCGTCTACAGCCAAGCTCTGCGATACAACCGCATTTGCTCCAACCCCTCAGACAGAGACAAACACCTACAAGATCTCTGTCAAGCTTTCTTACAACTACAATACCCACCTGCAGAAGTAAAGAAACAGATTGATAGAGCCAGAAGAGTTCCCAGAAGTTACCTACTACAGGACAGGCCTAACAAAGAAAATAACAGAACGCCACTAGCGGTCACCTTCAGCCCCCAACTAAAACCCCTCCAACGCATTATCAAGGATCTACAACCTATCCTAAAGGATGACCCAACACTCTCACAAGTCTTGGGAGACAGGCCAGTCCTTGCCTGCAGACAGCCCCGCAACCTGAAGCAAATACCAACAACCACATACCACACAACAGAACCACTAACCCAGGAACTTATCCTTGCAACAAAGCCCGTTGCCAATTGTGCCCACATATCTATTCAGGGGACACCATCACAGGGCCTAATAACATCAGCCACACTATCAGAGGCTCGTTCACCTGCACATCCACCAATGTGATATATGCCATCATGTGCCAGCAATGCCCCTCTGCCATGTACATTGGTCAAACTGGACAGTCTCTACGTAAAAGAATAAATGGACACAAATCAGATGTCAAGAATTATAACATTCATAAACCAGTCGGAGAACACTTCAATCTCTCTGGTCACGCAATCACAGACATGAAGGTCGCTATCTTAAAACAAAAAAACTTCAAATCCAGACTCCAGCGAGAAACTGCTGAATTGGAATTCATTTGCAAATTGGATACTATTAATTTAGGCTTAAATAGAGACTGGGAGTGGCTAAGTCATTATGCAAGGTAGCCTGTTTCCTCTTGTTTTTTCCTACCCCCCCCCCCCCCCCAGATGTTCTGGTTTAACTTGGATTTAAACCTGGAGAGTGGTCAGTTTAGATGAGTTATTACCAGCAGGAGAGTGAGTTTGTGTGTGTATGGGGGTGGGGGGGATGTGAGAAAACCTTGATCTATGCAGGAAATAGCCCGACTTGATTATGTAAAGAGTTGTCACTTTGGATGGGCTAGCACCAGCAGGAGAGTGAATTTGTGTGGGGGGGTGGAGGGTGAGAAAACCTGGATTTGTGCTGGAAATGGCCCACCTGTTGATCACTTTAGATAAGCTATTACCAGCAGGACAGTGGGGTGGGAGGAGGTATTGTTTCATGATTTCTGTGTGTATATAAAGTCTGCTGCAGTTTCCACGGTATGCATCCGATGAAGTGAGCTGTGGCTCACGAAAGCTCATGCTCAAATAAATTGGTTAGTCTCTAAGGTGCCACAAGTCCTCCTTTTCTTTTTGCGAGTTATTGGTGAGGTTCTGAAAGGGGGGAAACTTTCTAACTGACCTTGTTTTACAGTAGGTGATTGCACCTAATGTTTGTGGTGGTGGTAGCAGCTGTATTGAGAGCCTGGTGTCACACTGGGCTGTACAAATGCTAGGCGTTCTCACCTAAATAGTGTGAAAATACCATTGGGCTGAGGGCAGAGATGAGTGTTGCCAGCTACATACCCCTCCTGCAGCTAGATATGGCTTAACCTATGGTTGCAAAGATGCAATTAAAATTGGGCAGGATCTTACATCATTAACAGTCAGGGGCTGGCATGTCTGTGGTCTCTTCCTGGGTGCCAGCAGCCTGAGAGGAATCTGTATCATGGTACAAAGGGGATCAGTAAATCATCATTCCTGAAATAAAACCAAAAATGCTGGGGTGGCAGGTTTGTGCTCTACACTGGCTGGCAAGTGCATGTGCCATTCCTCCCTCTTGGACAAGAATGTGGACGCTTTCTTGGACTGAAGCCCAAACTTCACCATGTCTGAGCAGAACCTTCTAGGGAGGATGCACCTGTTTAACTGATCGTGCAACTGACTTCAAGGCATGGAGAGTGGACAAATGCCCCATATATCATTGCTGGTAACTAACCTCCATGGGCATCTGCTTTGCAGCCAATTATAGGGACAGAGATGAGAAAGTAAGGCATAATTATTTATGATATGCGAGAAACTGCCATGTCAGCTAAACAGAGCAGAGTCCTGGCTTTCCCTGGTACGGCAACACGAGTGACCCCCGTAAAGTGCAGTTCCAATTACCTGTACTGCCAGGGCAGCACGTGAAATAAGCCTTTCATAGGAAGTCTAGCCTCATCTCACTGCTAGGTAGGAAGAGCATTCACTTGCCTCAGTGGGAACAAGGCAGGTGAAACGGCCAGGGAGAGCAGCAGACAAGCCACCTTGGAAGGAAGCAAAGAACCACAGCTCCCCCTGGGTGTAAGGAATGAATTCTGAGGGCTGGTTGGGAGGGAAGTGTGCTGTCAAGGAGAGTCCCAACAAAGCGTGGACAAGATTGCTAACTTTTAATGCTGACCAAATTCCCTGGCTCCTAGTAACAGTTGTGGCAGCAGTCTGCATCCTTCTGGCTGCCAGTGCATTCTCAGGCTACAGAGTAACAGCCGTGTTAGTCTGTATTCGCAAAAAGAAAAGGAGGACTTGTGGCACCTTAGAGACTAACCAATTTATTTGAGCATGAGCTTTCGTGAGCTACAGCTCACTTCATCAGATGCATACCGTGGAAACTGCAGCAGACTTTATATATACACAGAGAATATGAAACAATACCTCCTCCCACCCCACTGGCCTGCTGGTAATAGCTTATCTAAAGTGATCATCAGGTGGGCCATTTCCAGCACAAATCCAGGTTTTCTCACCCTCCACCCCCCCACACAAATTCACTCTCCTGCTGGTGCTATCCCATCCAAAGTGACAACTCTTTACATAATCAAGTCGGGCTATTTATTTATTTATTTATTTTTAAAACCTGGATTTATGCAGGAAATAGCCCGACTTGATTATGTAAAGAGTTGTCACTTTGGATGGGATAGCACCAGCAGGAGAGTGAATTTGTGTGGGGGGGTGGAGGGTGAGAAAACCTGGATTTGTGCTGGAAATGGCCCACCTGATGATCACTTTAGATAAGCTATTACCAGCAGGACAGTGGGGTGGGAGGAGGTATTGTTTCATATTCTCTGTGTATATATAAAGTCTGCTGCAGTTTCCACGGTATGCATCTGATGAAGTGAGCTGTAGCTCACGAAAGCTCATGCTCAAATAAATTGGTTAGTCTCTAAGGTGCCACAAGTACTCCTATTCTCAGGCTAGGCTGCCATTACTTTCTCTACAAGATGCCTTCCCTTTCCTCTTC